TCTCTCTTCAATCTTTAGGAGAATTTTCTATATCGACAGGGATGGGCACATCTCCTCCCATCACCCCTCAACCTCGGCCTCTACTCTCTCTACCGTCTGTTGGGGTCGCCTGTTCATTGGGTCTGCGACTACACTCACTGCTGTCTACCCACTAAATAAATACAAGTAGGAATTTGGTCTTTTCGAATCTAACTTTTATGTTTCTGCTGGTCGTCACCGTAGTAGTTGGTGGGATCCTGAATCTCTTTATAATTTCTACCGTTTCTTGGACAACAGCGACGGTACCGATTAACGGGTGCGCGCTGTTTAGGATTTGGTCCTTGGGCACTATATTGGAGGAAGGGTTTGACATGTTTGGACGATTAATGGTTGGGGCCATTGTGCTTTCCGAATTCTCGTTTTGATTGGTCAAGAAGTTGAGTTTTTGTTTTGTTTGAGGATTTGGTGCGAACTCTTTTGAAGTTGTTTTCTCCAGAAATAAGTGTCCGTTTTTGTTCCGACGCTTTTCTGATGTAGCACAAATAATTGTTGAGTACTTTTCTGAGGTTAATTCTTTGTGTCAACGGTTTGAGAATATTTCCAGAGACGAACGCGTTGGATTCGTGACTAAACTGATGGAGACGCTTTGTGTTTAATGCGTAGCCAGTTTTGTTGAATATGTTTTCTCAAGGGGTGTTTTTCTCTGTTGGCTGATCACGCGTGAAGGGTTGCAAGGTCGTACATCGTATCAAGTAGGGGGAGTGTTTGTGGTACTTGGATATGAGTGAGTCCGATCTGTGCATCCTCTGTGGGGGGTACGCGTATGGGAAGTATGGGTGTGATGGGTATGTATGCGGTTGGGGTCCAAGTGCGACCCCCCCGAGAGAGCATACGGTGGTGTGCTCCTGGCACTTGCCTGAGGGGCTTACGTGTAGGTGAGCACTCCATGTCGTAGGTAGTGTGAGCAGCTTGCCTGAGGGGCTTGCGTGTCGGATAAATAATACATGGTCCTTTTCTTCATCTGCTGTTCCTGGGATAACATAGTACCCAGTCTCAACACCACAGACCGCTGAGGGCGGTAGTGCCACAAACAATACCTACTGTTGTTGCGGACCCCGAATAGTCACAGCCTGTGTCTTGACCGAACAGTAACATGTTCACACAACTTTGTTTTACTGCTGCTGGTGCCATTCTACAGCATACAGACTTAAGCCTACGCAAGGTTCCTCGCCGTCCCCGTGCTCCGGATGGTGTTTTTCCCCCAACCATATACATATTTTTCTCACAGGTCAAACGGCTAGATAGAAATCCTGAGCGGTGCCCCCGCCGACTGCTGTAACATCTCAATTGTCCCGTCTGGCGGTTAGCCCTAGGAGACACAAACCTCCACATCTTTTTGGAGAAATCATACCAGCTTGAGCAACCCCGTCGATCAATATGTGCCGCTTTTCAGTTTAGGCCTTGTAGCGCGAGATAGAGCTCTAGGGATTTGCTATTTTCCTACGCGTAAGAAGCCCAAATACTTTTTTGAGGCTAAGAAAAGGGCCCCCCCCAAAAAAAAATGCCGACAAAAAGGTTGCTTAAGACTCGGCCTCATTGTTAGCATGATGTTGAGTGAGAAAAGTTTAAATGATAGGCCTACATCTCTATCTATCCGTGCATGCATGCTATTTGTGTTTCGCGTGGACTGCCTGGCCTGCACACCATGTTGACCTTTGTCTTGGAATTGCTCAATTTGGGCGGTGGCGCGAAGCGTCGAAAACCTGATAGGTTTGTATCGATTGTTGCAATGTTGTGTGGCGCCAGTGATGTTTGTCGTGAATACTTTGTGTGTTTCGTGTTGCTGCAATGGAGACTTCCTCGTTGCGGTTCAGCAGTAGGAGCGAGTGGCGCAGTGTAGCCGGTGCAGACAACGGAACAACCCGAACAGTCCAGACGATGATGCACTCACCCTTGCCTGCTTACTCCACCAGGTGCTCGTTTTTTCGATCCTAGACTTGGCCTGTACGTGCCGTGCGCGCACTGCCGTGCCAGGGGCATTCAGTGTGCGTTATTTCGGAACCGTTTACTACTGTTTGTGAGTCAATCGAGGGAGCACCGATGGTATCTACACAAGGTCGCTCCGCAGTGTTCCACGTACAATGTCAATGAACCGGCGACTTGAAACTAGAATACAGAGGAATTTTGTGTATGGACAGGATATGTATCTAGATCGCCCTTTGGAGAAACGATAGACGGACCCACATGTCGGTCCTATACTGTGGTTCCTCTTGCAGCATCACATGCGCAACCTTTCCGGATCCGTACGCCTAAGCGTATCACACCATCCTACGGGACACCAGCATCCCACGGGACACCAACATCCCACGGGACATCAGCGAAACTGGTCCTGTCTCGTAGGTTGGTGTGAGCCGATCACGTTATTCAAATTGGCTGCCTTGTTGCCGCGTCGCTGGCTTCCTTCAAGTACGTAGGAGACTTGGAATTGTTTCTGGGTTTCTGACTTCCCACGGCGACTGTTTGCATACCATAGTCTATAGACGAAGGTGGGCTACTCTCGTGGGCACAGGATGTTGGTGAGGAGCTGTGGCGATGCACATCTGAAACGCTCTCTCTCCGGTTCGAGGGTCTTCAAACAGTCGAGCGTCCCTAAAACCGAATTTTGAACAGCTCGATCTCTGCGTCGAGCTACAAGATCTCCGTAGATGCGGGGAAACAGCCCACAGAGAATATCAAGCTGCCGCAAACCAAGCAGAACACGCACTTTACACACAGAGCCTACGCTTTCGCCCTCTCCCGGGGTAGGAACGGGCAAGGTTCGGCAACAGAGGGGTGTACACCTCGAATTTTTTACGTTGCAGACTTTTTAGGGGTCAGAAACGGCTTGAGCGTTTGTGGCGGCCACAGTACCGCCAGGGAAACCCGGAGGATGAACGGGAATGATCCAACTTCAGGGTAACATTGAACCCCGTTTGTTGTACCGGGTCCATCCCCTCCCCTGGTAAGAACCCCCCCTCCCCACGAAAGCACTACAGTAGGTGGGCCCGATTAGCGGCAACCTGAACAACGGAATTGCCGATTCAGCGGCATCAAAATACCAAAATATCTCGTCACAATTTCGACTCGATATAGCGGCAATGTGCCACTATAGCGGACGAAGCCCGATGTAGCGGCACTTTAGGGTGTCGCATACCCCAATAGCGGCAATTCCAAGAGTGGGAGCCCCCATGTGTTTCACCCGCGCGCACCCAAACACACACCCAGTGGGCGTCACACGTATCACGCTAGCATGTGCGGATCTAGAACTTTGTAAACTCCCAAACCTACCACTGGGAGAGAAGGACGGTGGGCACCAATGTCGCTAAACCGACACGCACGGCTGTTGGACTTCAGAGCGTTTACCCAGTCATAGTGGAAATAGTCGGTAGACGCCCACGGCTGCAAAAGCATTGTGACGGTTGGGATCCTACTCCTTTCCCGTCATGTAGTGTGCGCATTAAAACGTTTTCTCCGCTTTAGCGGCAATGTGGCTGGTATTGGGGGGGTCAATAGCGGAAACATTTCCGCTACAGCGGAATAGCGGCACTGCCCTTTCTAGCGGCATGTTTTTGGCTTGCCCCTACATGCCGCTATATCGGGCCACGTACAAATCGTGCGGGCCTATAAGTGAGAAGTGAAGGATGGTACACAGGCACTCCATGAGACTCGGTATTAACGAGGTTCGAACAATCAACAGCAATTAACAATCAAAATTGAGCTCTGATAGATCGACGACCAAAACTAAAGCCTTGTCTAAGTTCCCACAAGAGCTCAATTTAATTTATTGACTTGGAACACAACAGGTTAAACGTCCTCGGAGAACTTTTAGCTTCAAACTAAGTCAGCAAAAGCAGAAAATAAATAAAATGGATATGTTTTTCTTGGCCAACAGATCCCGTATTCGTTGGTTTTGATTTCTTACACGGCCTGATGCGCGAAGAACAGCGGAGGCCTCGATAAGCATGGCACTCTTGACACAAATTTGATGGACCCACTCGAAAGGATAACACATCACAAAAGCGAAGCACCCACTGTATTTCACCCGAAAGACCGCAAACGCCCAGGCGCTACACCGCCGCACTTACCGACTTATATTCAAAATATGTCGTGCGACACCCTCTACACTGACGATGAGGGTGCCAGAAGCACGGTGGCAATACAGCATGCAATGAAAAGCACTGTTGCAAAGAACAGGGTGTACGCCCCAACGGCGACACGAATTGCGTGTGTGCGCGGGGAACGAGAGATGGAGAGCAACAGCTGCCGCAAGCGAGAGGTCCGAAACTCGCCAAACTGCACGAAGAAATAATCGGAATGCGCAGAGGATCTTATGCGTTCTAAATCCAAGCGAAATGAAAATGGTGGCCTCTGGGCTCGAACACAAGCAATGGTCGCCAATGATTATCCCTCACGGAAATGAAAACCTGGTGCTTTGAACAGAGCAAAACGACAAAATATACATCTGTTGTTGGCGTACCTGACGGACCGGGAAACCTGAACACAAACGCTATGAGGTCCGAGCGTCCATGAATGAAGGTTCACCGTACAGCCGTGGCTCCGATATAAGCGGGTGGCGGTGTGACAAAGGCCGTTGACCCTCTTATATGAGAGCCCCCGCTTAAAACCAGGATAGGAAGTTACCCAACTATACTATAGCGGGTCGAGTCCGTGGAAACCGATGTCGACCCTCTTCGTCGACCACGACTGTATAGACCAGGAGTGGGTGTCCAAATGTGCACGTGAACGTGACGAGCAAACGACACACCACGCTTTTGTGGAACGCAGCTATTTGCGCACGTAAACAAAAATCGTGAACTGTCGTCTTGCTACTTGGAGAGATAAAAAGATGGGAGCCATGCACGATGCTGCGATGACAACATTTGTCTTGTTCTTCCTTTTTGGCTGGCATCCCATGATGACATCGCAGGGGCTTGTCGGTTGAGCCAATAGATACCGCGCGTCGAGATGACGCCGACGCCAGCATGGACGACTCTGAAGTAGCCTACATCGCCAGGTCGAAGCGGGATGTCGCTGAGCACTTCGGAGTAGCGTGGTCCACCATGCAGCCGCGGCTCGTGGGGAAAGTAGGAGGGAAGGTGAGCAATAACCCTATCCCGGACTCTATACGTGCTTCCCGCGGCAACGACGTCTGAAAAATATCGACCTGTAGATTTTACCTATATGAAAAGATGAGTCCGCCGACAACGGTGCGATGTAATCGGCATGTGGAGACACACACCGGCGGCACCGCACAGCCAAGTGTATGGCGAGTTTGTTTGTGGCTGCTCTTGTAGGTGTAGCTTGGAAAATCACGCGCAAGTGGTGCTCGACCGGTGAAGAAGCACCCGCTGTCACTGGCTCATGGTCGTTCGTGTCGATGACAATACTGTACTCCTACGCGTGGAAACTACAACAAGCAGCCGGCGTCGTCAGCGCGCGCCACAAACCTACCAGACGAAGTGGAGACCGAGCTGTTTCAGCATGTGTTGTGGCTGTGCGAGAACGGCCACTCGACGAACTGGGACAACATCAAAGCAATTGCTTGGAAGCTGGGGAAGATGGCTGGGATAGAGGGTGAGTTTGTATGTTTTTCTGCACCGCGGCAGTGTGGGAACGGAGCAGGAGTGTCGCGCAGGGGGGGGTAACGGCAAGGATCGCTCGCTACATCACCGCTGGCGCAAAGGGGATGGGAGGGGTTGGGGTTAGATCAGTGATAAGGTGCGGTTTCGTCAATCGTATGCATAAGTTGAATAGTGCCAGTACGGTGCAGTGCCGGTGACGTAACTCTGGCGGGCACACATCGGCACTACTGAGGGACCCCTGCTGTATCCTGCCCGGTAGTCGTGATGGTAGGGTCTGATCTGGCATTGTAGTGTAGTACAGCAGTGCAATGCGGTATACGTGCATCAGTGTCTGTTTGTGGCAGTCGAACCCGGTTAGGGAATCAGAGGACGAACGAAGAAATCAATTGTGAAGTAGACGCGGAACAAGCAATCCGCCTTGCATACTTCGTTGTTAATGGCTTGGTCGCTTTGCCTGCGCGTGGCTGTGAGCCGCATCAAACCCCGCGTGCGGTTGATCCAGCGCTCGATGCTGAGCAAACTTCGCCCCCCCCGGATATGGCGCAGACTTTGCGGCGTCAAATCATTGGCTGAAGAGGTTCAAGGTTCGCTTCCCTGCCCTCGAAGCTCGCTACAGCCATCACCTACGTACAACCCAGCTCAGCAAGGTTGGTTTCATTGCCTAGGTTTTCTGACGGAACGCAGCAGCGGAGGGGATAAAATTTGTCTGTACGACCTGGTTTTGGGAACGGGGGTACACGAAGGGGCCAAAAGGCAGTTTGAAAGATGATTGTTCGCTTTTCAATGTTGAACGAGCACTCTTATTTTCGTGTGGTATGCACGTCTCTTAGCGTCACACCCCCTCCCCGTTCGTTCGTCGATAAATAGTAATACTGTAGGTCATGCTGCCCGAATTCATTCAACCTTCACGCACGACGTCTTGCTCCGTGTGGCCTCGTCGTTCGGTGACACCGCCAGGCGGATATGGCCTACGCCGAAAGGGGAAGGGACGAGCGCGACAACTCAGACGCTACCTCGTTGGGTGACGGGGGTTGCAGCGGTGGTGAAGGTGGTGGTGGTGGAAGGAGCTACGTTGTTCCAACTGACCTTAAGGTGACCACCGCTGCGGGCGGGTACCTCGCGCTGGAACGTGCTAAAGTCGAGGCCGAGGCTAGTACGGCTCGACGGCATCAGCAGCAGCAGGCGGCGGGAATCGCGCCGAACACGGCGGGAGCGGTGACACCGGCAGCGACGCCGGCGGGGGCGGGGGCGGCGGCGGGGGCGGCGGCGGGGGCGGCTACCTCGACGTCTTCTGCACATCAAGAAGCACAGCTGCGGCTTGCTCCCGCACCGGTGGGAGGCCTGCCGGGGCACGTGCTCAGCGCCCACCCTTATAACGGCTCGCAGCTTCAGATAGCGCCGTCGCCGCACGGTCGCCACAGATTGCTGGATTCGACGGTTAGGGGCGGGGTCTGGGGACAAGCGGGGACGGGCGTGCTGGTGGGTTCGCCAAGTACACTCGGAGAGATATCGCCCACGACGGCACCTCCCCCAAATTTCCAACTTCAGCAACAATACCAGCACCTCGGCCTCGGGCTTCATCAGGCGGGACAGATGGGAATTGGAGGACAGAGGATTGTTCCGATACCCGGGCAGCTGAAGCAGGAGCCGCAGCAGCAGCAGCAGCAGCAGCAGCAGCAGCAGCAGCAGCAGCAGCAACAACAACACCTTGTGAGCGGAGGAGGTGCGCCCGGAGTTCCCTCGGGACAAATGGATGCCAGCATAATGCAAGCGGTGCGATCGCAAGGTCCGACGCCCATGCAATTCGCCGGCATAGCGGGTCAGAACATGAACATGGGTTTGGGGGGGGGAGCGCATCCGCAGCAGGTGGGTATAGTTATGGACGCAAGGGGTGGTGCCATGACTACCATGTACGCCCCGGCCGGGGTGGGGGGGGCGGGCACGCAAGCCATGGGGATGGTGGGGCCATGGCAAGCGGCGGTCGGGTGGCCCGAGCAACTGATGGGGCCTTGGCAGCACGTGGCCATCTCACAGGTTCAAGGAATACAGCAACAGCAACTCCTTCACCCGGCCGCTACTCCACCGAGCAGCTACGAGAGCCAGGGTATGCTCAATCCCAGTGGTACCGGGCTCGCATTGCTGCTGCAGCAGCAGCAGCAGCAGCTACTACAGCAACAACATCAACATCATCAACAACGACCGCAACAGCAACAGCAGCACCAGCAGCACCAAGGGCCAGCTTCTTCGGCATGGTTGAATTCGCCCGTAGGGCTTGGTTTGGGGCAGCATCCGCAGCCGGCGATGTTGGCGTCCGTCGCGCTAGGGCATGCTGGGGGGAACGGTGGCGGCGGCGGTGGCGGGCCCGAGTCGCTTCTCGATATGCAACAATACGCTGCTGGCGCTACCGCTGGTGCCGGTTCTGCGGAGCAAGAATCAGTACAGCATCAGGAGCAGCCGCCAAAGTAGCAGCAGCCCGACCAGTAGAGGGGAGTAGGGGCGAGGTAAGCAGAGGGGGTTCATCTGCGTCCGTCAGCGTCACCCCTGTGACGATGCCCGGATACGCAACGTGTCGGGAGGGTACAGGGGGCGGAGGCGGGGCGGCGGAGGCGGGGGCGGCGGGGGGAGAGCGTGTGGTCATGAACAGGATGACTGCCTGTTTTTTTCCCGTGCTAACAGCGTCGCCGAGAAGCGGAGGTGGATTATTGTAGCAAGAATAGTAGGCGGAAGCCAGTAAATTTGTCCACGACGGGAGCGGGGCGCGCGGGCGAGGGGGGGGGGGGGTGTACTCATAGTCGTGCATGCCGTAGTCGTTTGACCATTGACCTCGCATCCCTACAAAGCCGGGACGGAGCACGCCGGGTTCTCACCGGACCAGGCTCTCACATCACCAAGCGTGAAGCGCCGTGAGGTATTTGGCGAGTCGCATGAAGGGTGAGCTGCATCCTGCTAAGGGTGTTCGGCATCTTGTGCTTACTTCCTTGCGTACGGATGACAGCTACGTATGACTTAATTTATTTTCTGGTGCTTTCACTTCCAGAGACAGTTGTAAGCACTGTGTAACTGCCTCGAGGAAGCTTGACCATTTTAACACAACGTGGTGCGATCATCCCCCGTTGCGCGGAGTGAGGGTTCTCGACCCCGCACAACATGATCTACTCGACCACCATTATGGTTACCGCCAAAAAAAAAAACCGAGGTAAAAAAAAAAACGGTAACCTGGTTGTCGAGTTCACGAAGTGAATTGGCTTGTTTTACAACGTCGTTGCCAAGCGACGAAAACCCAATCCCGATGGCAAACACCGAGTGGGGGGCTTGTTTTACAACGTCGTTGCCAAGCGACGAAAACCCAAACCCCGATGGCAAACACCGGGGGGGGCGGCTTGTTTTACAACGTCGTTGCCAAGCGACGAAAACCCAACCCCCGATGGCAAACACCGAGGGGGGGGTGGAGGGGGGGGGGGGGG